GGAATATGTAACATTTGTATTTCAAACATGGTGTCGACTCTTCTTTTCCATGACATTCCAAGTTTATCTGATGATCTTAAATTGGTGAATGAGGCAAACTTTAAAATCCCTTTAGAAAACACAGGCATCATGGAACATTTAGTGGGTAAACTCAACTAGAACAAATTTTAACAGATTTGCTTAAAAATTAATGAGTTTAAAAGAAAAAGCATGTGAAAAGGTACAGATAGTGGTAAACTTAACTTTCAACAAAATTACCAAATTATACAAGTGAACTGTCAATTTATAAAACAACATGCTTCCCCCTACGGTCTTTAAGGTCCCTTTCAAACCATCCTACGCTACTCTATTTTAAACTCAGCAGTGTGCCCAGGTGGTCAAGAAGGCCAATGGCATCCTGGCCTGTGTCAGGAACAGTGTGGCCAGCAGGACCAGGGAAGTGATTCTTCCCCTGTACTCAGCACTGGTGAGGCCACACCTGGAGTGCTGTGTCCAGTTCTGGGCCCCTCAGTTCAGGAAAGATGTTGAGGTGCTGGAGCAGGTGCAGAGAAGGGCAACGAGGCTGGTGAAGGGACTTGAGCACAAGTCCTGTGAGAAGAAGCTGAGGGAGCTGGGGCTGTTCAGCCTGGAGAAGAGAAGGCTCAGGGGAGACCTCATCACTCTCTACAACTACCTGAGAGGAGGTTGTAGCCAGGTGGGGGTTGGTCTCTTCTCCCAGGCAATCAGCAGTAGGACAAGAGGGCTCGGTCTCAAGCTGCGCCAGGGGAGGTTTAGATTGGATATTAGAAAGAAATTCTTTACAGAGAGGGTAATCAGGCATTGGAATGGGCTGCCCAGGGAAGTGGTGGATTCCCCGTCCCTGGAGGTTTTTAAGATGAGGCTGGACGTGGCACTTAGTGCCATGGTCTAGCAACTGTGGTGGTAGTGGATCAAGGGTTGGACCTGATGATCTCAGAGGTCCTTTCCAACCCGTCTGATTCTATGATTCTATGATTCTATGATTTAGGTCTGCTAAAACCGGAAAATTAACTAAAAGGCAAATAAAATCCTGAGAAATCAATACTTTCCATTATTTTTAAAAATTCAAAATACTTCAGTGAACACACCCCCTGAAACTTCCCTCTGGCCTCTGTTTATTTGCTTACTATTTTTATTTATTTTTATATATATAATAACCATATATATACATATAAATTATATTCTGAAAAAATCCAAATGTAACTTTTCTCAAGTTTTTTTGCTGACTTTGAAAGATCAATGAAGGTGGATGGAAATATCCATGGAAACTGCTGAAGAGCGGCAGCTTGCACCTGCAGGACTGGATGTGAAAATCTGAGAGTCTTTGAACTCTATGACCTAATCCTCCCTGATCACAGGTGGAAGAATTTACCTCACTGCAAATGAGTTTTTAAGAGCCTCGTGTAAAGCGCTGGCTGGTGACAATTTATGCATCCACTAACATCCAGACCCAAAGGTAATTATTTATTACAATTTTATTCAGTTTTTCAGCTGCCCTCTGTCAGGATCAGGCTCCAAAGAGAGGGACACAGACCAGGTCATGTTGATCTCTATGGCTGGACATATGAAGAAACTTACAAATGACACAGACTAAAAAATTTTTAAAAACTGACACAGAAAATGTCCCAAATTACTTTATTTTACTAACACAGTAATGAAGTGCCATCCTCACACCTGAGCTCCATAGACAGGAAGTGGTCTAAGGGAAAACTGGTAAAATGATTTCCAGACTCAGGCTACAGTTAGATGAGCATTTCATAGATATGTAAAATCATCTTATGCAATCTAATATAGTTGTACGACTTCTATTGCCCAAGTAACTGTTTGGGCTCTCCTATTTGGAGTTTCAGAGTGTTGTACAGCAGAACTCATGCCTTCACTGCTCCTATAGTCCTGCACACTCAAGTTTTGCTGCTAATGAACCAAGAGCAGGCTCAGTTATTGTATCACACCTGTTTATTTTCAGAGTCTCACTACTGTACAGACTAAAAGAAGATGAGGACAAAAAATACATACCTATGACATTTAAAATTACATTAAAGCCCAACATAGGAGGAGGAAATTGAGGCACATCCTAACTCCTTATAAACCTGTTTTCTTGACTTCTCAAATTTAACTTCTGACACTGTAAACAATTCTCTTTTTTTTAGACTAAAAAAGTCTTTAGTCTTCAACTAAAGAAGTCATTTAGTTGAAAATAGCACTGCACAACTCCACCACCTTCCCTTCACTGTATCATTGTTTCAGACTGTCAGCACTGTAGTGACTGTCATCCATCACCTGAACTGAAGTATAAAAGTACAGGTACATGGAGACACAAGAAAAATTCAGCTGATGGCTTCAGAAACTCCACCTCTGTGGACCAGGCATGAAATGCCAGAGGTTGCTAATTAACTTCAGTGCTAGTGGTCTAAATAGGCAAGAAAACCTCATTTTAGAAAGAGCAGAGTTTTACCACATACTGAGAAACCATAATTCTCCCTTATTTAGCTACCTCCATCTGCTACACTAACATACTGTATTATTTTATAAAATGAAAATATATTTATTTTCTTTTGTAAAAAATAAGATTTATTTTTTTTTAAAAGCCAAAGTTCTCAAAAATCGTGTTAATGGTCAGCAGAGCCAGCCTTAAGAGAATCTCAGTAATGATCCTTTGTTTGCAGCACAGTCCCCGCCTGGACTTCCATGTTCCCCTGACCTGTCTGATAAGAATCCATTGCAGCAGCCATGACTTCCAGTTTGGTTACATCACCACGAGTGGTTTATGCCCACTTGAAACACAGTTTCAGTGCAAAACCAAGAGAAAAGAAATTATATCATCTGAGCTCTCCAAGCAGAGCTGGTCAACAGCCTCAGCTTATGCCAATCCAAACAGCTCATGAAAGCAACAAAAGGCATCCTTATAGTTCCAGGATGACCTTCTAGATAAATTCTAGGTTAAAAGAAGTTGAAGTGCTACAATGCTTTTGTATTGCAAAGTCTCAGAGAACTAAATATAGACATAAGCACCACTCTCCACTCTCCCTGTAATCTTCCCTCTCCTGAAGAACAAAATTGTTTGCCTTCATCACCCAAGAGGAAGCTGCAGGTCTGAACTGCAAACTCTTGGTGAAAGAGGACTGGAGTTTGTCAGTACTCAGAACAAGGCAGATGAAGATGTTTTCTGTGGTTTGGTTCCTCTCAGGACCAGATGTGACCAGAGAAACTGCAGGAGAGGACAGAGAAATGCACTGTCTAATTAAAGGTGTACAAGGAAAACAGTACCTACGAAGGCAGTAGGAAGTTTTCATCATGAGTTTCTCTGCCTTGTTTGTGATTTCACCTATGTTTCAGGGCAGCAGATGATATTCCCCAATTTTCAGGTTTCACAGGCAGAGCTGTATCTGTCAATACATTTTCTTGTCAGATGAATTGACCTTGGTGAGACTCGGCTCCCACTGAGGGTTTCACAATCTGGTATTAAACTGCTGCCTGACAGCACTCACTCCAACACCACCACACCTTGTCAGGGGCTGTCTGCGCTCATCAGCTTTACACATACCTTACAGTTTCCACCGCACTGGAATGTAAATGACTGGATTTTGGCTCAGCTCCCCTTGGTGGGATTGCTCCCAACCATATCAATGCACCCACTATCAAACCTGCACTTGGATTTGCAAACCTACATGTATTCTTAAGCAGATGACTGCAGCAAAAATTAATAATATTTTGAAAAAAAATGTTAATTTTCAATCCCAGGCCTTGCAAAAAGAGCAGGCTGCTGTTGTGGCTTCAAGTAAGACTCAAGCCAGGTACTGGCAGACAAGGAAATTTTACCCACACTTAACTTTCTGTCATCATGTCTTTCTTACATCTTTAAACGATCTAGAGTGGCTGGAAGTCTTTTCACGCTTCTAAAAACAAAACGCCCACACCCTCCTTCTGTAAAACCTTTAAAATAGTTACTCTCTCCTCTGCACTTCACATACTTGTCCTATTGGTGCCCTTTCCCCCTCTTAAATATCACCCCAGAAAATAACAGAAAAAAAGTTAATTCCTTTGACATCACAACTGGAGTGGGTGACTGAAGTAAAAAAAAAAAAAGAAAGAAAGAAAAAGGTGAAGTATTGATACAATCTAAAAATTAAGATAAAACTGTGTGTAAAAAAAATCTATCTAACCAGCTGCTCAAGGCAGGAAAAGCAGAAATAAATTAATTAATCAGTTCTGCCAACTCCTGAGGATTTTGTGACTGGCAGCAGTCAGATATTTTCCACTTCACTTGCACATATCTTTTCATTCATGTATCAAAAATCATGCCTTAGTTTGCCCATATATAGAAAACCAAGCGAGTTTTGGTGAAGAGGAGACACAACCTCAACCTGCGAGCAGTCCAGACTCAGATTACAAGTATCAGGTTGGCCTTGCATTAAAAGATGCCATTTTTTCCATCATAATATCCTGCACTGTCAGTGCCCAAAATGCCTCACCAGGTGTTTAGTTTCACTAAACGCAATAGAAGCAACACGTGGTATAAATCCTGGACTTCCTTTTTGGGCACTGGCGTTGGGATCTTCAACGCACAAGGAGATTGCCCAGGCTTAATTCCCACTGAAGCCTGAAGACCTCAGAGATCTGGCCTGTGGCTTAGCGCAGAGCTGAACACAACCAACAACGTTCTCACTTTAAAATTTCCATGTAATGTCATGTATATTATCATAAAAAATTATTTTAATATTATACTCACTCAAGCATTTTCAATCTCTACTCATAAAATGGCACCATTTCTTGTTCTTGAAAGGACTTGTGCTGTACTAATTCATAAACTACAGTCAGGTCCCTTCCTTTACACCTATTCACTCTTGTTTAAAAATAAACTCAAATATTGCACCATATAGTGAGACATAGTTTAGGAAAGAATCTTTTCTACAGACTTGCACACAGTATTACAGAGGATTTTCTATCCTGAAATGCCTGTAATCATAATTTTTTCTGAATACCTGAAAAAACCCCGGTGGTACAGGACCTACTGGCATGCCATCTCCTGGGGGAATGTTTCCTAGCACTGGACTGGGAGCTGCTGCAGCACTCTGAAAAGAACAAAGGGAAAATAAACCTTTGTCATTGCATTGGTAGGCATTAAATCCCCTCCCCAAAAAACCCCAAAACCTGACCAAAGCGCAGAAAGTAATTCTCCGGGTATGTCATTATGTCATTGTTTCATCTGAAGGTGAATTAAAATTGTTTAGTCGTCACCTATACAAGTATCATGATTTGTGAAAATAGCAAATGAGGGCAAGGATGCCAGAGATTGCATGCATCCATTAGACAGATTGACTGAATTTTAAAAAATATTGCATCTGAGTATGTCTGCATACACAAATGTGAGTGTAACTTGCACACTTTTTCTTGTATTAAATGTATAAACAGCCTCACACATGTACAAGGATACACATACAGCATAAACTAAGTAATTTGTGCATTTTATCAGCGATTTCCAAGCACTCTAAAGATAATTTCATCGGACTGTAATATTCTCTCACAACAACAAGCTCCAAAACAGGATTCTGTTACAAACAGCACAAGAAGGGATGCTCACAATTCTGCTGGTAATGCCCATGGATTTTACCAACCCCGGAAATAACCACCATGACAAATTAGAAGAATTTGGGTTATGGTTTTGGAAGGGAAAAGAAAAAAGGGATTTCTAAGGAGTGAATCAGAGGATGAAATTAGTTACCTTTGCAAATCCTTCAGCTGGAATAAGCGATCAAAGAATATTGCTCCTGGCAATTTATAAAGCAGGAGATAGTCATACAAAAAGGGAAGCCAAACTGCTTCTGTTGTCATGTGTTGGAACCTCAATTACTTTTAATTTCTAGCAGTCTTCCTTCCTGCAATGTGTTTCTGTAGGGCATGAGGCTGAATCACCTATAAAGGCTTGAAAATCTCCTGTGAAAGTACTCAAGCCCACAAAATGCACTCGGAGCCACTGGCAGGTTACTAACGACCTGCCAATACCTGCCCTGCAGAACACACATGGCTGACACTTATTAAATTATCACTCCATTTATTGTGTGCTTACACTCGATGTCCAAAAGATGCAGATATGCAAATTGTATTTCCAGGTGTTTGGCACACTACCTAGGAAGTTAAGGAATAGTGCTGGAAAGACCTGAAAACTGGTACAAAGGAGGGCTGACCTTTTTAAACCAAGCAAAAAGGAAATATTCTGTTAATTACCACAGATTTATTTATTTTTCAATGGCTTAAACTGTGTTTTAGAGTCAAAGTTATGAACAACATGTCCCTGTGCTGCCCGAGCTGAGCCCACCTCTGCTGGCCTTGAAATGTGCACTGTGGGATGTCCAGTGGAGCACAATGCATTGGAACAGAATCCAACAAATCACTGGACAAACATGTCCCAGCAGGTCCAAGTCTCTGCCAGGAGGGAACAAACTCTGGGGATGCAGAGCTCCCACAGGGATTTAGCGACCTGCTCCTGCTGAGTTCACACTCTTCCCCACTTTGAAAATGACTTTAAAAAAGTAAAGTGGCAAATTACACTCAGCACTTTAAAAAACGGAGAGAGAAGGAAATAACGACTATCCCAAAACAGGGGGAGAAAAGGCTTAAAGTTATAACTGTTAGCCATTAAACGTCCTAAGAGGGCTTTATAAGAAATATACCTAAAAATAACATTTTCATAATTGTCTCAATGGAGGTGGGTTTTTCAAAATTTTAAAGTTTGGGTGGGTTTTTTTTCCTTTTTCTGAATCTGCCATAGCACTCATCCCAGAGGAACCCAGCACTGACCACGGGTGAATCCCCAGAGATTCCCAGGGAGGTACTGCATTGTGTTGGGTTTAACTATTTGTTTACCAGGTTATTTGAGAGTCGATTACACCATCCAGTTCACAGATACTTGTAAAAAACCACCTCTCCCCTGCATTTCTGAGCAGGGAGGGAGGGCAGGATGAGGCCACAACAGCAGATCAGTTGTACTGACATTTCTGGTACTACTTAATAATTGTAAGAATTCTGTAGTTGCAGCCATTTCAGCATAGTCCAGTCTCGGGTGTTACAGAAACTTCAACTTCCTCCCTTCATTATGCAATGTACTGTGGGTTTTTTTCTGTTTTCATGTTTCCCTGGGATTTTCTTCCCTGATGGGCAATGAAGTTACAAAATCAGAAATAAAGCATTTTCAGTATTTTAGGTATATTACATTTTCTCCCTTGTACTAAGTAATGAATCTTTTAACAACTTATACCAGGTAGATCAATAAACAAATCTGCAACTGCTGCATGGAAATATTCTTATTTATTCTATCCTGATGAATTATTCAGTTCTTTTTTCACAGTCCCACAGCAAACTATGGCTTTCTTTTGCATTCCTTACAAGTTGTTCATCATTTATAACTCCATTAGTTTGACATTTTTAAATATTTGCAATTTGTTTTCCCTTCTTTCCATAAAATGATGAAATAGGAAAATTTAAACGGTATAATCTTTTTGTACATATCTTATCTCCTTAAAAATGGAGAACTGTATTTTCTTTTGTAGCTAAAATACTGAATTTGTACAATTTACAATTATTCATTAAAATGGTGTGCTTGAATGAAAGTTATTGTGGTCACTCCTTGCTCTACCCAAGCTACTCTCAACAATGCTAAAGTAGATGATTATATTAAAAAAACCCACTAGCTATGGTTTAGGATGGATTTTACAATAAGGAAATCACTGATAAATAAAAAATAGAATCATTTGGCTATTTCATTAGTACAGGATCTAAAGTATAAAAATCCAGAGAGAAGTCTGCACGATTTAGGTCATTTTTGAGGCCATCACAAGAAGTGCCTTATGATGGAAGCTCACAGAAGAATTTGATTTGAAACCAAAGAATGCTACCAAAAAATAGCTTGAATTTATAAAAAACCTTATCTGACTCATTCTTTAATCAGGACATTTAATTCCAGATATTTTGTCTACAGTAAGATACCCTTATTTTTATCCTGTTAGCAGTTTTTCACATGTTACTAAATTTGTCCAGTCAAAGGAGAGTTCTGTTTTTAAGAAGTCTGACTGAAGAAAAACTGATGATGGAGGAGTTGGACCCTACACATAAAAATGATTATGGCCACTGTTGGCCACTCAATTCATCATCTAACCCTCCACAAACCTCCTAAACCAGCCCTACATCCATATTACTAACTTACTAGCTGTTATCCTACAAAATTACTTCTAATTCACAGTATTTCATGCCCTCTCCACTTACTGCAAACAAACAGGAAATTAACTGAACAGACACAGATGTGATTAATTTAGTTTTATCACATTTTACTGAGTATTTTTGATACAACTATGTTGTCTTCTTTAGGAGAACACTTTAAAAATTGCTGTTTCTCTTTTTTTTTCCTAAGGACAAAGGATAAATATTCAGTATTACTTTTTCAAGTTCATTAATTTTGGAAATGATGGGAATTAAAGAATTTAAATGCAGTTGTCGTTTCTTTTTTCTCGTCTGGAAAGACAAATGATGGATGATTACTATTTCCAATCATATTTACCACTTGCTTAATTTCTGGTCATTGACAGCTCTGAAGTGCCAGACATACTGCAGCCAATATTGTAAAAAGATGGCAAATTTCCATTTGTAAACACTTCAACTTGTAACTTATCAAGTGTTTCTAAGCCATCAGCCAGTTACTGTAATAGTCCTTCACTATTTTTACCTACCATAAGTTAGAGAAAGAAGTACTAAGAGGAATTTCACTGAATAACCACTAGAAACCTTCTAATTTTCTTCAAGATAGAACATGAAAATACATTAATTTAAACAAGCTTGCATTCCTTTTACAAAGCCTCTGAACACTCAGCTGCATGCAACAGAGCCATAAAATGAGTGGCCTTGGTTTACTAACATCAAAGTGGAAGATTGTGCCCAAAAAGGTGAATTCATCACATTGAAAGAAGCGAGTAATTACAAAGATCTGGATCACGAGACCTAATTAAATCTTGGTGCAGTTCCATTGCTATATATTTGTCTAAACTGTGTAATTTCTGTTGTGTAACAAGAAGGCTTTCACATCACAGCAGCAACCTGAGAAGTGTAATTGTGGAAGGTCATTCCTTGCAAATTCTCAGTTCTCCTCAAACTGCAGCTTCTTATGGTTTGATATGGACTCTGGCATTGTATTTCTTCCCATCCCATCTTACACATTATTATGAGTGATAAAGAATAACAGTAATACAATCAATGTAGATGACAAAAAAAAATCACACATTATCTTTTTTTTGGGGGGGGGGGAGAAAGAGTTCAACCAGGAAGAGCAGACCTGTTGATGGTGATAGTACACTCTGGGACTCCATCCATTCTCCTTTCCCAAGAAATCTACCCCCAAACCAACCTCATTCTGAGTAAATCCTCCCCATATCTGAGGCAGGATCACACTTTGTCCGACTGTACCCCAGTGCCCAGTGAAATTATGTTACAATGCTGAAAACCAGGTACTGGGTTGGAACAGAAATTATCTGTAAGGAAAGCTTTGTTATCAATGAATAAAAGGACTTCAAATTCTTGTCAAAAGACAGCCTTTCAGTCCTGTCTCTCAGCTGCTTCTTCTTGGATTATTTAGGATGTAATTTCCAGATAAGGGTTTTTTCTTTGTCTGATTATGGTTATAAAGACAAGTTATTTTAAAAGGAACCTTCATTACTGACTGGAAGTTACTAAGATCAGTATTATGCATAGGTATCAACAGAATGTTCACTTACAAAAAAGCAAAAATAATTTTGTGTTTTAAATACGGGAGTAAAAGTATGAAATTCTTTTGAATTTCTGCCCACTCTTCCCCCTCCCTCCCCCAACAGAACTATCCTTAAAAGTAGAACACTTGGCTTTTCCTGCTTCCTTATGAAGATTCAAAAAATGATACTTCAGATAATGGTTTCTGACTGTGTTCTGTGAGAGCAGGGGTGTTCATTTCAGCTCAGTCCCGAGCCCTGTGTTATCCAGGGATGTGTGTTTGGGTACAGTGGGAGCTCTGGGGGCCACCCAGTGGAGATGCCTCTTCAGCACCATCAGACCC